AGCGACCGAGAGTATTCGATATGCCAGACACAGTAACAACAAAGTCTCCAATGGAGACGTTACTGGGCCCGCTCGAGCAAATCGACGATCAACGGGAGGGCCTTTACCTTTACCTTTATTGTTTTTGCTTTTTTTCACTCAAGAGAAGTCCTTGTTCTCTCTTAAACATGTACTTCTCTTTCTTCTCTACTTCTGTACTTAACTGTCTTTAAATAAAGCTATTTTTCATCACAACAAAAAATAAAACCAGAAAGAAACAAACTAAGAAGACCAAATAATCTCTTCTTTCCTTCAGAGAAGGAAATGAGAAATTCAACAGAAGGAGAAATAGGAGGGGTGTGAAGGCTGGGGAGTATTTCAGTGATCCTGGATTCAGCATACTTGGAAAGCATGAGAAAAAACATTCTGGCCACCAGAACTTAATTCAGTTCTTTACTTAAAGTCGCCCATGAAACAAAGAAAAAATAATAATAATTCTAGCACATCAATTTATTTATGCAGCACATTTTTAAGTAATGCACTTTCAATCTTCACATATAAAACATCAGAGAATTTATTCGCACAAACATACACCATTTATTTATACATTAGCAGGACAAATTATGTTACTAGAGAATTTACTGATCTAGGACTCTAAGTGTAAGACAAAGATAAAAATCAATGGAACATTGCAAACCCGATACAAAGAAAGTCTATTTAACTTACAACTATCTCAGAGTATCTGTCCTCTTTTCTTTTTGCCATTTTTCTTTTATTCTATTACAGTTTTCCCAAAGCTTCACATTAACAAACATAGAAAACACTTAACTGAGCTCAGAAAAATAAATCACTACATGAACAGTCAATGACATGCTCAGAGAGAAAGATTACATTTTGTGGATGAAATATCCAAAACTGACATAATTTTTACCTGAATATTTGAGGGAGGTTAGTGTCGAACTACTCTTTACTGTTGGCAATATTTTTATATTTAGTACATTTAAACGGCAACTAGAAAACGGAACTAACTGATTTACCTAGATTTATAAACTTGAAATGCCACACTTGAGGAATTTAAGTAATTTGCACATCACTTTTTGAAAGCCCTGGTCTAATCACATCTCTTCAGTACTATTCAACCCATGCAGTTCCATCCTGTTGACTGAGTCTTCCCACGTTCCTGGCATTTGGACAGCCTGAGGAACAATGGTCTTACCTAATAGAAAGGTTGATTCCAAAGCTGACCCCATCACAGTGTGCCAATTTAACAGACAAGAACAAGGATTCAGAAGACTAACTAATAAAAACAAATCAGAAAATATTGATTTTGATCCAGAAGCATGGTGTTTAAATTAAAAGACAGCTCTTCAGAAAATCCTTTCTTCTATTGTCAAACATGCATTAGAACCTGCCTATCTTTCCAATCATTCAATTAGAACAGAGACAAAGGAGTGATATTCTTAGCTTACAAACGAGCACTGGGACATAGACTGGATACAGGGTTCAGATTCACTATTTTTTTTTCAAATTGTCAGTTTTAATTTTTACAACCTGAAAATAAAACTATATGTACATATTAAATATAACTTATTCTCTTATATTTAGGGAATGTTACAGATTTCTTTCACAGGAAAAGAGAAATCTAAATTCAACTTATAGCCTTTAATTTAGCATGAAGATATTCCATATAGTTAAAGCACTGAATTGCATAGAATTAAATGAGTATAACTGTGCTTTCCCTTCTACTTGGAATACAAATGAAAATGTAAATTATAGTATATTGATTCTGCCTGAAGACTCTAAATTTGAGTCTTCTGAGAGTACAGTTTTATATATTTTATTTGTTTACCTGGTTTTAAGAGATAAAGATAATTGCATGTTTTTATCTTTAACCAATATTAAGTGATTAAAAAGGAAAATAAAGTTATCAGTTATGCATATGTAAGAAAAGTATAAAACTGTGATATATTAGTGATATAGAGAAGGGTCTAGTAAGGGCACATCAGTACATTCAAATTAAAATGGGAGGGTGGGGCCTCTCCCATAAATGTTCAAGGGATACTCTAATCTCTTTGCTCAGGTTTGATTTATTCCTGGCAGTGCTTGGGGACCGTGTATAGTACTGAGTATCAGAGCAGGATTGTAAAAAATCAAGACAACTACCTTAAAACCTGGCATTATATTTCTGTTCTCCTAAATTAAAAGTCAAACAAATTTTAACTGAAGAAGCAAGTCATTGTAAAAGAAGAAATAATAAGCCTTGAGAGTATAACTGTTAGAATTCTGTAAAGTGGTGGTGTTCAGGCTACCTCTTGCCACCATAATTCTATAACCTAGGAATGTTTAATGTATTGGTTAAATTTCTGCTGCTTTCTGAGGAAGGAAAATATAAATATCTTGAACTAAACTAGGTCTATGAGTGCCTTTAGTCACAAATGATTCTGCCTTACACTTATAGACATTCTGTCTAAATAAATTAATCAAATTCTGTCACCCAGAAATAAAAGGTCATGCAACAAATACTGTTGTTTGTAAAATACAAAGCCAGAAAGGATTTGTTTTAATTCCTATGGATATAGCTTAAATAAAAAAAATTGTGCCACGAGTTTGAAATTCTAGAGTAAACATCACACAGATCTCTTGTCACATATAACTTTGAAGTCTTGTCAGCACAGCTACCTAATTTATTTGAAACACCCTGGAGTCAGTGTCTCTTTGTAGTGTTATTTGTCAAATGATTCAAGCACTGCTTTAAAGTCTATGTTAGATTACTAAACAATTCCAGTGCCCTCAAATTGCTTTTTACACAATGCACAATTTTCTCCTCTATGCATAAAGAATTATAAACAATATTTGATTTGCCCCTGATACATTAATTTTCCTTATTTTAGGAGGCTAATGGAAGAAATAAAGCTACTATAAAGTGAACCAGTAATATTCTGGTAGAAGAGTAATCAGTTACTATGAATTGGAGAGTATATATATATATATATATATATGTGTGTGTGTGTGTGTGTGTGTGTACTTATGTCTAGATATATCTGTGAGTTAATGTGCTCTTCTATATGGGGTGCTTGGGCTATTATAACTTAACTATAATAATCTTGAGATTATAGTGTATTCATTAATAATATGGTGACTTGTAAATTAACACAAGGTTCACTGTCACTGCCCTCCCGTTGTTCATCGATTTGCTCGAGCGGGCCCAGGAACATCTCCATTTTGAGACTTGTTACTGTGTTTGGCATATCGAATATGTCACAGGGAGCTTGCCAGTCTTTGTTGTGTGGGCGAGATACTCTTGGTAGCTTGCCAGACTCTCCGAGAGGGGTAGAGGATTGAAACCAGGTAGGTTGGGTCGGCCCTGTGCAAGGCAAATGCCCTCCCACTGTGCTAGGTTAATCTGGCTGCGACATCTGTCACCCCATTGATCACCAGGGTTGATTCGGCTGGTCTGGCTGGCTAGGCAGGTGTCCCGTTTCTCCCTCACCACTCCATGTGTGTCCCTCCTGAGGATGGCCTTCCCCAAATAGAGACAGACCTCTCTTTGGTCGAGGGTATACGAGTACCTGAGCTCCTCTGCTAGAACCTCCAAACACAAGATTAAAGGTCAATAATTTGTTATAGGCACACTCTTAAGTCTATTATTTCTAATAGAAATAATAATAAGAAGTCTAGAACCTTCTCTTTACTATGGATGCAAAGTATCGAACGTCAAACTGTGGCATGAACGAGAAGTTTGTTGAACATTTCTATCTCTAAAATTGATCTCAGGATTATGCTGATCAGTTAGATTAAGATTAAGGTTCAAACCCTGAAATAGTTAAGATCGACCTAGTTACCTGGACAATATTCCTCTTAGGTTTCCCAACTAACCATCAAGGAGCAATTCAAATCTTGTGTAAAAGCCCTTAAAGTCAGTGTCGTTTCTGATTTGTCTGTTCTCTAGGGTAAATAAATCCCTCATGCATTGTTCCCCCTCACCCCTACCCCCGTCATCTACCACCTTCAGACTTAAGAAGATAAATTTTGGTCCTACTTAAATGATCCTTTTCTTAATCCTTCTGAAGTCTTATGAAACAACAGATGAACAGGACTGTCAATCATGTGGACAAGCACAGGTATCAATCTAATGTTCATCAGGGCATTCTCAGAGAAAGAAGACTCTGGGAACAGAGAATTGTGACCCAGCCCACTGAGGTTTCCCTGGTGTGGTGTGTGTGTGTGTTTGTGTGTGTGTGTGTGTGTGTACACACACATATGAGAGAGAGGCAGGATTCAGTCAGTCCAGAGTGAGAATGAAGCCTATGTTTTCTATTACCATACAAAAATTAAAGCTTGACGTAAGTAATTATAACTTCAGAGGTTGTTCCCTGACTCAAATTTGGGCATATTAATCAAACATATTTTACCTTCATTTATTTTTAATATAACAATGCTTTGGGTTTCAAAAATGTTTGCCTTAAATATATATTAAAATATTTTGTCAAAATAGTATGGATCTTAAATACAAATCAAGGTATTATAAAAATTGTTTATAAAGTCTTTATACAGATCTTTTACATCTTCAGGACTGTATTTATTCTTCTGAATTTTTGATGCTTTTAAAACAGTTTTAATTATGGTTGACCTATTGAATATATTAGAACCAATGACAAATAACTTTTAAGTAATATAAAATTAGACTGGTTTGAAAATAATTGTGAACCCTGAACAAGAATGTAATATACCTATATTTGAACCTTAACCCTTCTTTATTCACACCTTATTTCCTCCACCTACATGAGCCTGAGACGTAGAGTTTCACTTTTAAATTACTCCAGATAATATTTACATTCTTTTCTGCAACCATGTAGAGGATCTTCTATTTTAAGACTACTGAAACTGAACGGTGTGATATTACATATTATGTGAACTCAATTCTTTGCATAGAGAACATATACTTTTAAAAAATGTTTCTGATTCAGAACACATACCCTTGCAAGAAGCAAACGATATTCCAAGCCCTCAATCTACAGTACCTGTAACTTTCAGCTTTTCAGCACCAATAGAAATCTCATCTTCATCTGCAGAAAACAGCACTTTGCCATCTTCACTTGATCTCACTTCAAACCTTTTACACTGAGCTTCCACTGCATCAGCGCCTATGGTGAGAGAAAAGATATGAAAATGAAACTGGTATGCAAGAAACCACTTAATGAATATTTATAATAAAAATAATATAAAATAAAGAAAAGCCTATATTATTAAGTAGATGTCAAGTATATTTTCATTGCAATCACTATATTTTAAAATTATCATCGTTTCAGCCTAATTTGGTGGAGCACTGCTGGAGAAGGATGGTTAAGCATGCGTGTACCCTTCAAATGTGTGACATAGTCCTGATAGGGTTGGTGGGTTTATCCAGGTGAAAACTTGTATATAAAAATGAGAGACTATTTCTGCTTTATCCTTGATCATAGCCGGCAGCTTGGCATTATAATTTTCACCTGCTCAGATGCTCAATGAATATGGAATGACTCTCATCTTTTCTATCCACAAGCGAAGATTTGTGTCCCATCTGTGGCTATTTCTAAATGCAGTAAATGTGCACCCTGGATATTCTACATTTCATATATTCTACACTGATATTTTCTCTTTTCTGTAATAACACCAATTGTTAATTCATTATTCATTGTACAATCTAGCAAAATAGACACACAAACACATAAAGTACTTATATTTAGATTTCATAAAGTTACATTGTTAGTGCTCACTAATATGTAATCAATAATTTTCTTGATTGAAAAAATATGGTATTAAGTAAATATAATTTGAGAATATAATTAAAATATAATTAATTTATTGGCCTAGTTTGCATATTTATTCATTAACAAACCAAAAAAAAGTTCTCATACTTTGTAAAACTGAAAAAATGACAATTAGATGGTTCACTACAAAAAACTTATTAGGGGTAAGAAATTGTTTTTTTTATTAAAATATTTTTAATAGTGAGACATGATGAGGTACAGTTGCGGACTTACACATTTTTGTGCTTGGGTTTCAATTATACAATGATCAAATACCCATCCCTCCACTGGTGTCTGGTTTGTAGTGGACACTTACGAAATAATTGTGGGTAGGTGCATAAACACCAGACTCAAATTTTCTTTCCCTTCCCTTGCTTATTTTTAATGCCTTAACAATAATCTTAGTCCAGAGGCTCTACTAACTTTCATATCCTTTGTTGTTAATTATTTATAGGTAACGTGTTAAGAAGAGGAAAAGTAATTATAATCCCTGACAAAGTGTGACCTAATGTCTTGGGAAACAGAATTTACAATTTTATTATACTCTAAAACTACACACATATTTTTAGGTTTATATATAAATTGGCAACTATCGCCCGATCTGCCTGTTGTCTGTTGTCTACAAGCTGTTCACTAGAGTCATCCTGAATAGGATTTGGCAGAACACTAGATGAAGGACAACCATGTGAGCAAGCCGGGTTCCAAAAAGGATTCAGCACAATTGAACATATCCACACAATAATCAATCTCATTGAGGTTTCTTAGGAGTTCAAGATGCTGCTCTGTCTAATGTTCATTGATTTAAAGACCTTTGACTTTGTTGAGATTGAAGCGGTCATTGAAAAGCCAAACAGGGTATTCAAACTCAATACATTAGGATCCTCCATGAGCTGTATTACGAATTCACTACCAGGATCTCACCATTCTACAAGGAAGTGATCATCCATGTCAAGAGAGTTCAGCAGGGTGATAACATTCACTGAAACCCTTCAGTGCCACACTCGAGAACGTCAATCAATGACTGAAATGGGAAGGAATGGGTGTGAAGATAGACAGTTGGCAACTACACCACCTCTGCTTTGCTGATGACATTGTTCTAATAACACCAGACATTAGCCAAGCAGCACAAATGCTGGCCGACAATATCACGAAGACAATGTTTATGAGAAACAGTCTTGTTCCTGATATTCCATTCACTCTCAACGGAATGAACATCTTCGAATGCAACAGTTATGTTCACCTAGGTGGATAGGTCAACATGACGAATGACCTGGCTCCTGAGTTGTGCAGGAAGAAGAGAGCAGCTTGGAATGCCTTCAAGAGGTTCAAAGAAATAGCTAAGAGGATGAAGAACCTCCGGCTCAGTGGAATCTCTTTGATTCCACTGTTCTTCCTGCATTAACATACGCCTCAGAGACCTGGGCCCTATGAAAATAGGATGGGAATGTTATTCGGGTCTCCCAAAGAGGAATTGAAAGAGCTATGCTTGGAGTATCATGGTTCACTCAAATGAGAGAAAGAGTCTGGAGTTTCGACACCCGTTGATGGTCCAGAATCAGGGATGCTGTCTCATTTTCCAAGATGTTGAAAATCAGATGGGCTGGAAACATAATGAGATTTGGAGATGACCACTGGACTAGAGCCATTACCGACTGGATTCCACGGGACATCAAAAGATTGCATGGCCACCCACCTACAAGATGGTCAGATTTCTTCGTCAAGACCCTGAACGATCGGTTTGAGGCTCTTTGTGTTCCTAGAATGAGCAGACGCCATTGGGCTACACTAGCACGTGACAGGGACAAATGGAGACGTTACTGCCACCTACTCGAGCAAATCGATGAGTAATGGGATGTCAAGTGATCAAGTGATATAAATATGGAAAAGCTTTGATGAAGGCAATAGTAAGTTAAAAGTAACGTTAACCTTGTAGTCTATCAAGTTCATATAGTGAGAATTGTATTTAAAAAATGGTCATCTCCTTTCCTGTCTTTCAAGTAAATAACATTCCTTTGGAACTTAATGACAAAATTGGACAAATCAGGAAAGATGCATTATCCTTGGTCAGAGTAATTCTTCTTGAAAATATTGTTCCAACACATTCTATTCTGTTGAGTGTTTTTTCTCCTAATTCCAGTTGAACCTTCCCATACTGTTGCTTTTGATAGGAAACATAGTAACAAAAGTGTGTTAATGTCAAATAAATCAGGCTTGACGTTGATTTCTGGATCCTTGAGGTTTATGCATTTTGTGGTCTGTAACTCATGCTATATTCACGGTATTCAAGTTTGCATTAAAACTGAAATGCATTAAAATGTATTATAGATGATGTTTTACACATAAAACCTTAGCATATAAACTACATTTTTTCCCTCTCATATATAATTTATTTGGGTGACTGATGCACAAGATAAATTACTGACTTTAATAACATTGCATTTAATTAAATCTCTATATGCAATCTCAAGACTTTTCTGCCATAACATGGATACTTCATAAAATAAAATGTCACATAAACATTTAGAAATATAAAGTATCTAAGTATGACAATGTAAGAAGAAATTTTGATTCATTCAATGTGAACAAAGAGAAAAGGCTAAGAAGAAATAATTTATCTGCCCCAAACGTAAGAAACACTCAGGCCATAAATAAATTCATGCAGACTCATACTACTGAAAAATACATTAATTAACAGTGTATACTACATAGTATTTTATGTATTAGAATGATTATGGAAGAAAAATAATAAGAAATCTGAAATGTACTGATAAATGTTTTAATTCAGAAATAATATTAAATGTATTGGATTCTGTTCATTGCTTTTTTTGCAAATAGAAAATAGCACATATACACCATGACATAATATGTCAATGTCACTGTCCTTCCGTTGTTCATCGATTTGCTTGGGTAGACCCAGTAACATCTTATTTTAAGACTTGTTGTTACTCAGTTTAGGCATAGTGAATATGTCACGGGTAGCTTGCCAAGCTTTGCTGTGCCGGAAAGATACTCTTGGTAGCTTGCCACGCTCTCCGAGAGTGGAGGAGGAATCGAACCTGGCTTGGCCAGGCTGGCTGCATGCAAGGCAAACGCCGTACAGCTGTGCTATTGCTCCAGCCCTTATGACATAATATAGCTTGTATTATTGTATGATATAGCTTGTATTGTTTTGAATATTATTTATATATTATCCATTAATAATTACTTTAAATAAGAAAATGCTGTTGAGTTACTGGTTTCTATTTATCATTATTTCCTTTATTATATGACACTAATATATTTATTTTTCAATTTACCATATGTACCTATTTTATGATATCAACATGCTTCATATTTTCTTTTGCAGTCCTTGGTTTTTGGTCCAACTCTGTGGTGCTCAGGGTGAATTCTGGCTCTGTGCTTCGAGATCACTCCTGGCAGTGCTCATAGGTGTTATGCCTGTAATTCAACCTGAACTGCCTGGAAAGCATGTCCTGAGCCCAGTGAGCCACTCTCTTATCCTGCTTTGTGCTTATTTTCTTGTGTAAGTATGTATGTTTGTGCTCCTAAGGTCACATGGTGTTTAGAATAGGTCAGTTTAGGACCAACTGCTAAAAAGGGACAATTATTAACCCAATTTGATTTGTGTTATGCAAATTTCAGGAAGGCAGCATGCATAAATGACTTTAGGTAAGACACTACAATAATTATGCAACTTGTTTAAGGGGAAAATAAAGTGATAAAGTCGTGTACTTTATTAGTCATTTTAAAATCATTCTGCTCGCTAAATGCTTCCTTGGGAATAATACTGATGAAGTTTACCTTAATAATTTCATAATTAAACAGAGTAGATAGGCATAAAGTGATGGCAGTAAAAAAAGGTAAGAAAAATGTATTGGTTTACAACAGAATAAAATGTTCAATTTGTTAAATAAATATTTTTCTAACTTTTTTAAAATATCCTCTAAGTATTCTTTGTAAAGAAAATCACAAAGAGAATTGCTTGTTCTCTCAGATAGGCCTATCTTTTAGGGCATTTTCTATAGCCAAATATAATGAAACCATGGCTACTTGTCAGCCAAAATTTTGCTAACAAGTAGAGAAATCCCAATAATTTAAATAATACTATTTCATTTCCTACATTGGCTCAGCTAAATACGAGTCACTTTCTTATTAATTTAACAGACATCTATACAGATTTGCACAATAATTTCCATTGATCTCTTGCTACCAATGAGTACTGATTTAAAGAAAACAAGGCAAAGATCTTAACAGCTGTAACTTTTTATCTTTCGTGTATTTTCCCTCAGATTATTCTGATGAATCCTTTCTCCTGTCAGTATTATTGGGGCCCTTCTGGAAAAAAATTATGCATA